CTCTGCCTCGTTTCCTTTCCGTCCGGCGCTGACCCCCGGGCAGCAGCCCGGCTCCTTCGCCTCGTGCATGCGGTGTCTCCTGCCCCGAGCGGTCCCCCGCTGCCTGTCCCCGCCTGCTGTTTTGGCGCAGCTCGGCCTTCCCTGCGTCCCTGCCGCTCTGCCTGCGTCTGCCAGCGACGTCCCCGTGCATGATCTGTCTGTCCCTCGTGCCAGATTCCTGCCTGCGCCGCTCTCCTCTGCGTGAAGCCGTCTGTCCCCGGTGCCAGGCCCCCCTTTCATCCTTTTCCCTGCGCTTGGACGTGTCCCGCTGTTCTGGGTCCTGCTGTCCCCTTTCTGTCCTGCCTCCTTTGCTCTTCACCCTGTCCCAGTTGCCCTCCTGCTGCAAGATAGCTCCCCTGCTTGCACCCGGGACCCCCCGCCAGCTCTGTCCTTGTGCTGGGGCCTGCCCTCCGCAGCTGTCCCTGCCCGTGCAGCGCCTTAGCTGTGGGGCTGCTGCTGGCACCCCGGGATTACCCTCCACTGTCCTGTCTCCCCATAGCTGTGCGCTCACTGACTTCCCCCTGGCACCAGAGCACGTGCTCCTTTGCCACCCCCAGCTGAATGTGTGCCAGGGCTGAAGGGCACCAATTCCCCCCGCCCCTGGCCTGGATCGAAGGCTGCCTGCTTCTGCACCAGAAAAATCAACTTTGCCCTGGGGAAAACTGTGTCCTTCTCTTCCCTGACCCACCTTGGACAAGACCGGGCTGGGGGTCCCCAGCAATTAAGAGGGTTGGGATAGTGTTGGGTTTAAGGCTCGTAAAGAGAGGGAAGGTGATTCGGGGGCCTCGTGCGGACCTTGGGGTCCTCTCTAGCTGCATGTCGGTGTGTGTTTCTGTGCAGCGCAGCGAGAAAAGAGGAGATCAAAATTACTTCCCTGAAAGGCTGCCTGGAATGCCCCAGGGCATTTCTGCACCTGCCCGGGTACGTAACGGGATGGTCCAGAGAGGATTTCCAGGCAGGCTGGGCCTTCCCGTTGTATCCCTGGGAACGTGGCAGCAGTGTCTCCCTTCTGGTCGGTGCGCAGTATGTGTTGCTGACGGCAGCCCTGCGGAGCACCGCTGTGGGAAGAGCAAGCTGGCTAAAGAGCCCCTGGTCCCCCTGTGCCTTGCAGAGTTGTCAGGAAGTCTGGTGCGGCTGGGAGCTGGCAAGCTCTGCGAACGCTCGGCTATTAGCTGCGCTGGCACCCGGCAGCGAATTCACAGCAATTGCCGGGAGCAGCAGTAGTGTGGCAGTGTTGAAATGTGCAGATAACAGAAACCTTTGCTTGGAGAGCTGTAGAGAGAAGACTGGGGGCAGATTTTTTTTTTTTTTTTTGCAAAGAGCAAAGCACGGGGCTGTGGTGGCAATAACTCCTCTTCGTCTTTAGCGTTTTGCTCTGACAAGCACATGTAGGTGCGGAGCGGTCGCTGCTACGTGGTGCTTTCCTCCTTCACCAGCAAGTCGCTGCCTCTGGGCCTTGGTTGTGACTCCACCTGGCAGCCGTGTGGCAGCGGTGATGGCCCTGCTCCAAGCTGCCTCCTCTCATCTCGTCCTAGAGCAGATTTCTGCATCAGCTGGTAAATGCATAAAAAACCCCAGTCTGCAAAGTGCTCCTGCCAGCTCCAGCTGACAGAGGGCAGTCCCTGTGCGCCCTGAGCGCCTTGCTGCGTGGGAGGCAGGCGATGGCTTGTCACGCTGAAAGCAGTCATGCTAACCCTCCCGTCTGGCCTCCTGCGGGATTTCTCTCACTGATTCCCAAAGCGAACCGCAAAAGCCTAAGGCTTCGGAAAGTTTAATTGCAGGCAGTACCTGGGCTCTGACATCCAAGAACTTTCTACTGCTGGAGGTGGATTTAATGTTGGGAGTCTTGTCAGCCTCTGGATTTTTGTTGTTCAAAGGCTTTGCTCCAGCTGGCCCCTGTTGAGTAGCGATTCTTCTGGCAGCCAGGTTATGAGTGCAGGCAACTCTAGAGGAGTTCCTCTGCTTGCTATGTTAAAAGGGAAGAGCTTTGCTGTGTTCATGGTATTCATATAAAGGCTGCAGGAAACGAACTTTTTCCAAGGTTAAGAGCGTGCTGATGACTTGGGAGGGTGCAGAGGAACAAAGCTGCTGGCTCTGTAGCTGTGTTTTCTGCCGTTTGAAATGGGTGATATGAGAAAAGCTGAAAATGTGGCTGCAAATGGCTAGATGGGTCTGTTTTACAGCTCAGTAGCAGCCTCCTGGTGCCGGTGCCTGGGTGTATCGCATGTGAAAATTGCCAGTGGTTTATAATTGCCCAGAAAGCCATTAAGTGAGCGTGGGTTGTGTTGCCACTGAGCGGAGAGGCCTGGAGCCTGCAGTGCTATGTGCCCTTTTGTTACGCTGCCTTCTCCAAGCTGTGGCATCTTCCCTAGTAAAAAGTGGGGAGGGTTGTGCGCTCCTGCTGTCTGGGGAGGTGAAGGCATGAGTTGCTGTGCAGCAGAGGATCAGGCTGCACGCGCCCTGCGGGCTGTCGCAGGGCTTCCTCCGTGAGGGTCTGCGCAGGAGCTGCCCGGCATGTTCCTGCCATCTCGGCATCCCCGGCATCTCCAGGAGTTTGCTTGCCAAAGGGTGTCCTGCAGCAAGAGTGGCTGAGTCCAGTTTGAAAGCAGCTGAAGTTGGGGATTTGGCACTGGGGGTCGTGCAGGGGGTTGCGGGGGGATGTCGAGGACCCAGCGCAAAGGCGTTGCAGGGCTGCGCTGGTCCGTGCTGACGTGGGCTCTGCGTGCTTTGCAGCGTCATGTTCCTGCATCTTCAGGATGCTGCCGCTCTGGCACGGCGCTGCAGCCACGCGGGGCTGCTGCCCCTTCCCGCTCGCTTGCAGGGGGATGGGGGCTGAGA